TATCGTTAGCAACTATTTTGTTCACTACATTAGATACATCGTTCTTACTTTTTCTTAAATTAAACATTTTTCAACATGCAGGTTATGTTTTCTAAGAGCTGATTGCTGTTGGATACGAATGTGTACATGCCCTGCAGACAATTTGTCGATTAAAAGCACATCCTGACCTGTGAGTTCCTCGGTTCTAATGATAAGTTAACATTTTAAGTGTCTGCAGGTCACGTCGTACGATTTTCTGCCGTAGCGGATTGCTTTAAAGACTTTACATAGTTAAAGAGGGGTGAAAACTCTTAAGAGAGAGGCAATGTCATTGAGCTAGTGTTCGCTACCGAAGACTCTCCTGCTTGACTTAAAGATGTGAAAGCCATTACAGTATGCGGTCATAATTCCACATATGGCAAATAGATCTGCTTGATACCGGCTTAACAAAGCCAACAACAGATTGGTACGGTGCAAGCTGTTTACTTTAAAGCCGAGCTTAATTTTTAAGGTTGGTTTGTGTAAGCTTAGCTTTCATATAAAACGGTGCAAGCGGCCCTTAAACGTGTTCTAAACTGAGGTTAATCCCTCGATCAATCTTCACAATCGAAAAAATTATAATGTAAAGATAGATAGACTGAATACATGTATTGATTGTATCATGGCAGCAAACGGACATAATTCCACGTATGGCAAACAGATCTGCTTGACACCGGGTTAACGAAGCCAACAACAGATTGGTACGGTGCAAGCCGTTGACTTTAAAGCCGAGCTTAATTTTTAAGGTTGGTTTATGTAAGCTTGGCTTTCATATAAAACGGTGCAAACGGCCCTTCAACGTGTTCTAAACTAAGGTTGATCCCTCGATCAATCTTCTCAATCGAAAAAATTCTAATGTAAAGATAGATAGAATGAATACATGTATTCATTGTATCATGGCAGCAAACGGTCATAATTCCACATATGGCAAATAGATCTGCTTGACACCGGCTTAACAAAGCCAACAACAGATTGGTACGGTGCAAGCCGTTCACTTTAAAGCCGAGCTTAATTTTTAAGGTTGGTTTATGTCAGCTTGGCTTTCATATAAAACGGTGCAAACGGCCCTTAAACGTGTTCTAAACTGAGGTTGATCCCTCGATCAATCTTCTCAATCGAAAAAATTCTAATGTAAAGATAGATAGAATGAATACATGTATTCTTTGTATCATGACAGTAAACGGTCATAATTCCACATATGGCAAACAGATCTGCTTAACAAAGCCAACAACATGGTACGGTGCAAGCCGTTTACTGTAAAGCCGAGCTTAATTTTTAAGGTTGGTTTATGTAAGCTTGGCTTTAATATAGAACGGTGCAAACAGCCCTTAAGCTAACAGCTGATCATGATCTTCACTGCATTAGTTCACAACTATTCTTAAAACATGTTCATTTTTATAAAATTAGTGTAATTCATAGTTAACTGAATTCTAGAAGAGCTCAACTAATCTCAAACACCTGCAACTACACACATTATTGTATAATCGATTGTCTATTACACATGCCTAAATTGTGTAAGACCGCTTCGTAGACGCAGGTAATGGCTTTGCTACCGTACGTTTAATCAAACCAAATCTCTGTGAAGTGCGGCAACATCGCCGCTTTTCGAACTGGCCGGATGACGTGGGATGCCAAACGCCGGTAATTTTATAAACAATCTCAAATGCACGTGCAGGTGAGCGAAATTGTCCCGTTTGAAACGTGCGTACCGCAAAGTACCGTTAGGAATTGGTTAAGCGGGTAATTAATTACACCACCAGTGACTTTCCTTTTCAATGTCAGCCAGTCTTTCTCGACTTGTCCGTGTGAGCGCACCCTGTCTTGGTCCCGGGAAAAATCGATATCTTCACAAAATTCGCACCCAAGTCCCGTTATCTACGACGCGCCGTCACTGCAGTCCCCCACCTGTTAAAGAGTCATTTCTATTCCGCCTGCGCCCGTGCATTGTGTCAGTAGGGTACCGGAGCGTTTGTAGTGTCGCGAGTCGTACCGTAAGTTCGAAACGGTATTTTTGCGTTGGATCGTCTGAAATTGAGCGCAACAAGATGCCCGAAGCCCCCCGACCATTCCAGCGGCTGCCCCGGACCGTCAAGCCCCTGCATTACAACCTCAGCTTGGTGCCGGACTTTGACACCTTCACGTTCAAGGGTGAGGAGTCAGTGAGGATTGAGGTAGGTTCATGTTTGATTGCTCCATATGTCGAGCAGGTTTACATGATTCCACCCTTCAAACACTCAAGGTTGGAATGGGGGGTCCACATTTCAATCACTTTGATAGGTTAGAGTTAGCGTGACTTTCACTATCTTGCGCCCCCATCGGAGATTTTCCATTCGGGGCTCTCAATTACGCTGCATAATTTAAAATGTAAACTCAATGTACCACAGGATTACCGTTGAGAATACACTGATAACGTTTATCTTGTTTTTCTGAAGTTTGCCAGTGACTCAGGCAATTTTGGAAATCCCGTTTATAACCCTTTTGAGCTGACAGGGTGCCATTCATCCAACCCAGGTAGATGGGGGTGCGGTTAAAAGGGACCGTTATCTAACTGTTGCACCTTTTGGGAACCCACTATTTTTCCTTTGTAGCTTGTATACGGGCAAGTGCCTTTATATTCTATCGTACGGTGTCTCCTAAAATTTAACTGGGCTTCAAACAGCCTTGATTGGTACCACAAACTACTACGCAGTTGTTTACATTTGCTAATTTTGCATGCAAGAAGTTCAGCACTTTTCGGCGAAGATTCAATCGAGCGGAAAGACACACATATACAGGGTGATTCTCAAGTTCAAGGCTCGTTTTTCTATGGTCTGGTCGCCCAGAATTACTATGATTGAACTCGTTCAAGGCGATAGAAATATTCAATTTGGGAACGCAACATCGATTTTTCCTCCTTAGAGGCGGAATTGTACCTGGCTATTTATTGGTAATTCGTGGTTTATCACCAACTCATGATGTTTCAACGCCCAGTGTCTTCTAATCCCGTTAAAATGAGGTTTTTGCCAAAAGTGTTGGCGCAGTTCAATGACTCGTCCTCATTTTGTCAAAATGCGACGTTGCCACGTATTGAGAGAAATTGGGCTTTTGGCGTTGCAAATGTTCCAAAACTTTGTACTTGATGAGTGAATACTTCATAATTTTTTATGTCTTATAAAAATGTCCTTTATGTATAGGAAATTAAAATGAAAGAAGATCAAAACTGGTTGCGTTTCTTGTGATTGTACTTGATAAAAGTGCAGTCATACACATCAGTGTTCGGCAAAAATTTATGTTTATTAAAAAAAAAATCACTGATTTATTTAAATTCATTAAAAAAATCACAATTTTTTTTATTTTTATTAAATTAATTGATAAATCCGCTTAATTAGCTGTTTTGAAGTCATTGCAATTGTTGCTTAGAAGATTCAAGCTAAGTTGAACCGATTCAATACTTGTCCGAACGCATTTTTGACGGAAAATTCTTGTCGCAACGGCCCGCGACTCGTTTTCGCACGTTGCCCGGCGTAATCTATAAATGCCGTCGCCTTTCTTCGGTTTTATTCATTTTGTCACAAAATTTCAAGGGAGGCTAATGTTGAAAAGTGTGTAGATTTTTTGTGTTTGTGTAATAATAATAAGTCAGTTTGAAAAGAACGCAATGGCTGGAAGAAAAGAAGACAGTATTTGGCAGTTTTACATCAAAACCACCTCTTCTAATAAGTCAGGATGCAGAGCAACTAGCAAACAGTGTAAGAAAGAAATTCAAGGCATAGTACAAAGACTGAAGGCACACCATGACTTTTGTAAGAGGCATCAAAACAAACAAAGCAGAACAACAAATGCAAACATCGATCTTCCGCCCAACTTTTTTGAGACTGGGAGTGCTTCTTCCTCCTTTATATTTCCCTCGACAAGCTCCAACTCACCTCCAGAATCTCCATCATCTTACACGCAAATAACTACGGAGTCGGCTTCCAAGAGAAAGAAACGTGAAAGCCAACCCTCAATGTCCAATTTTGTTAGGCGAACTTCAGCAGGGGAAAAACATCTTATTGACAAACAAATAGCTAAGGCCATATTTGCCACAAACTCAAGTTTTAGATGTATCGAGAATTTGGAAGTCAAGAAAGCTATTCATCTATTGAGACCTGGATACAGTCCTCCTTCTCAAAAAACGGTCGCATCGAGCCTTTTGGATGAGATTTATACTGAAGAAAAAGAGGCATGTTTTTCATCTCTTTCGGGGAAAAGTGTTAACATGTCGATTAACGGATGGTCAATTCCTCTTCCTCTTCAGACTTTATAATGAAAATGAAGAGAAAGAGAAGTGATTTCCGTTTTAGTATTATTGAGTTTACCATTAATACCGTTTAATTTTTAAGTTCACGTGTACCGTGTTCTATTTTCATTTTCATTTCTTAGAATTATTTGTGTTCTGTTTTATATTTTTTGAGTGGAAATATAAAGTTTCTTGAAAAAATTAACTTTGATTTAAATCGTGATTTTTTTCCAAAAAAGTCAAGTGATTTAAATCATGATTAAAATCAATTGAAAAATGTCAAGCCAACCCTGATACACACACAGAGGAACTTTTTGGGCAGTTCAGCAACACCGTCGTTGCACACTAGCACTGTTTTGTTTACAAACGATATTTTTCGAAATATTTCTCAAGTGTTCTTCGTTTCGTTTACGGATGTTTTCCTAGTTTTGCGCGCTTGAAGTGGCTCATTTATAGTGCACATGTAAAGGCCTAAAGGCGTGCTAAACAGGAAAAGTTGAGAACTCAGTACTATGATTTTACGCGAAAATTTCTTCAAATGAAGATCGCATTCCTATTTTGCATGTAACAAGTAACTCTGAAGAACGAAATCTAGTATGTAAAGCGCAAAATTAACTGAATTTGGAACGCGGTTTTTTATATAAAGTACTCATCGCTTTAGGTAAATGAAGCGACGGATAAAATCGTCCTCAATGCGGTGGATTTGAGCTTGGTGATGGCCCAAGTCAGCGGCGAGAATATCGCTCCCCAGAACTCCCGTAACATAGAAATGTCCGAGGCCGACAGAACGGCTACCTTGAAGTTTGACTCCCCAATAGCCAAAGGCACCCACACTCTGGACATTGTCTTTAACGGTTAGTTGACTTGTGGTGACTGCTCTTATTCAGCACTGTTTGAGCCATATTATGTGTATTTTCAGGCCAAATTACCGATGAAATGACCGGTCTCTATCGCAGCAAGTATGTGAACGAAAAGGGGCAGGATGCATACGCTTTTGTTACCCAATTTGAAGCCACTGATGCCCGAAAGTGAGTGGTTGTTGTTTCCCTAGTTTTAGCCCATTGAGTCAAACGGGGGTTTGTTTTCAGATGTTTTCCCTGCTGGGACGAGCCGGCCTTAAAGGCCACGTTCGATATCAGTCTAGTGGTGCCGAAAGACCGAGTCGCCCTGTCCAACATGCCCATTAAAAGCGAAGAACCCAAAGGGCAGTTGGTTAAGTACACGTTTGAAACCACCCCTATCATGTCTACGTACTTGGTGGCTGTGGTGATTGGTGAATACGACTATGTAGAGGATCGTTCGAGCGATGGGGTGCTGGTGCGAGTCTACACGCCCAAAGGTAAGTGGATGGAAGACGGAAGGTTGGGTTTTCAAAGAGAGCAAATTTACATTTTCTGATGAATGAATTTTTCGCATGTTGTCCATCATAAAATGGCTAAGTGAGTGTGATTTTTAGGGAAGAAAGAGCAAGGACTTTTCGCACTCGAAGTGGCCACCAAAGTGTTGCCTTACTACAAGGAATACTTCAACATTGCTTACCCGTTGCCGAAAATCGACCTCATTGCCATTGCAGACTTTGGGGCGGGAGCGATGGAGAACTGGGGCCTGGTGACTTACCGGTAAGTGAGTGTTTTTCCATTCAACTGAAGGATGTTACACGGCATTATTGTGATAATCAGCACGATTACCGTTAGCAGCCTGTTGCAATAGAAGCGAACTGTTTTCCTGCAAGGTTAGCAAGTCTTCTTTCGTTTTTTTGCACTTTTACTTTAGCGCGCGCCTTGGTATGCACTTTAATCGCTGATTATGCACTGTTAAAGCCAGGAATCTCTTTTACAGGATGGGCAAAATTCGTAGAAAAAAGATTTGTTGATTGTCTTCACTGTAAAATGTTTTCTGTCTTTTTATAGTGAAACTACCTTGTTGGTGGACCCTCAGAATACCTCAGCAGCCAGCAAACAGAACATCGCGCTGGTTGTAGGCCATGAACTGGCCCATCAATGGTTTGGGAACCTAGTGACGATGGAATGGTGGACGCATTTGTGGTTGAATGAAGGTACAAGCAAAGCCTACTGTACTATGCATCTTTTGTAGTTTGCAAACTCGCATAAAATCACTGATTGAGTTGTTTTGCTTGCAGGATACGCCACTTTTGTGGAGTTTTTATGTGTAAACTATATTTTCCCTGAGTACGACATTTGGACGCAATTCGTCAACGATTCGTACATTAGAGCGCTGGAACTGGACAGTTTGAACAACTCACATCCCATCGAAGTGCCTGTGGAAAATCCGGCCGAAATTGACGAAATTTTCGACGAAATCAGCTACAACAAGGGCGCCAGCATTATCCGGATGCTCCACCACTATATCGGGGAAGAAGATTTTAGGTGAACTGGCCAAATGAGCTTCAAGGGTAGTTGGTTCTACCATCGCTCTATTTGTGTTGTAGAAAGGGCATGAACGCGTACTTGACTAAGCACCAGTACAAAAACACGTTTACTGAAGACCTGTGGGAGGCACTGGGCGAGGCCAGTAAGAAGCCAGTGGGTCAAGTGATGTCCACTTGGACGCAACAGATGGGATTTCCGCAGATTTCGGTCAGCAGCACGCCACTGGGTAAGCGTAAGGGGTGGAGAAAGCAAAACACGTTTTAACTCGTGTGTGCGGAATTCTTACAGGCGAAGGCAAGGGCGCAAAACTAACTGTTGCACAGAGCAAATTCACTGCGGATGGTTCGCTTGCGTCAGGCGACTACAAGTGGATGATCCCCATTTCCATTTCTACCTCACGCAACCCCGGAAAGGAGGTGGTTTCCACTGTTTTAACTGAGAGAACTTCCGAAATTTTGGTACGTACTACTTTGTAAGTTGGGGGTACTTCGGCTGCGCCCTAAAGCGGCCCATACACGCGAGACATTACAGATCAGGTTAAATTGTTCAGCATGTCAAGGAAAACCAATCAACTGAAATTATTTGCCATCAGTATTGAACATATGCTTTGTTCACAAATTTTCCCATATAGTAGCTGCATCCAACTTACGTGTATGGATCGCTTTAATGTCTAGGTTCGAATGCAAGCTCGTCAACGTTTGAAAATGATGGGTTTTAGGTACCTGATGTAAAAGAGACTGACTGGATCAAAGTGAATCCGGGCACCATAGGATTTTACCGTACAAAGTACTCAGCAGAGATGCTCATGCAATTTGTGCCCGCCATTACGAATAAAACGCTGCCCCCTTTAGATCGGTAAGTACGGGAATTAGTGATGGGAACTATCGAATTATGCGATAGTTGTAAGTTGAAATGTAATTCATTTGAGTTGTTCGATAGCCGTGTTTTATTGATTTATTTTATAATTATCAGATAAGTCGATTGCAATGAACGAATTCAAATTTTAAATCCATTGATTGTCAACTTTTTGAAGCAAAGATATTCAATATTCATTTGTTAAATTTGGTTTTTTTTAAATTAATTTATTGAAGGAATGTTTTATCTATTTTTGCCTTATGCATAAGTCCATGCATAAGTATTATTAGTAATTGGAGAAAATTCCACTCATTTGCAGAGATTTTACTATTTTATTTCAAGAAAAGTAGTAAATACCAACATTGAGATAAAATAAATATGAATAATTAACAACAGAAAAGGAAAATGAGTCCATAAATCAAAAATAAAATTAATAAAGAAATTTTAGTTTTTTCTATTTTTACCTTAAATGACACTTCAAATTAAGCAGTTTGGGCGGAAAAAAATCCTGGAGGGTCCATAAATTAAGTCAAAAACACTGATAAAGTGTGTGTAAAATCACAATTTTCGGCTGAATTTTGAGCGGTGTTGCCAAACTGCGGAAAACGGTTTAAGTTAATGAAAATTGTTTCCTTGGGTACCTAGCATGTAGGTTCATTCAATTTGGGTCGGTTTATATTATTTAGACATTTTTAAGTAATTAATTTTTACTTTTAATTAAACAGTAATAAATTAACCGAAAGGAAAGAATCGCAAAAATACGTGGCAACACCACATTGCGTTGAATACCCGAAAAAGACAAATAATCCGATCTGACTATCGACGCGCTAGTTAACCTCAATTAATGGGCGACGTTTGAAAAGATGCTCAAACTTTTGCGAAAGCGACAAATTTGCATGTGGAGTTATGAATTGTTGATACCTTAAAGGTATCCTCAATATATAATCCAGCAAATACCATCGTTCAAATACAATCTCATTTTCGTGCATAAATAAGTGGTTTTGGGAAAGCAAATTTCTAAAGTTTGTAAGTGTTTTTGGTTTAATTTATAGACCATCCAGGATTTTTTTCTCCTCAAACTGCTTAATTTGAATTGTTCTTTGAGGTAAAAACAAAGAAGTATTCGAAGGGACGACCGATCACCTAAATAAATGAAAAATATCTATATTTAAAAATCAAACTTTGCATTATTACTTTAAATATGACTGTATCTAATCTTTTGAAGACAGATTATTAATGTCTTTCGGTTCCGACGATCGTTAGTAACTTGTCCAGTTTTTGAAAATAATCGTTCAGACGAAACTGAAGTAGCAGGAGAGGGTGACTTTTTGTATAAAGGCTTAACCGGTGATATCTAATTATGTGAAAGCTTTCGACATTCGATGTCATGGCACTAGGGCTCACACGCACACACGGACAGATTCTTGTAAAAATGGCGGATGTGTTAGAAGAAGTAGAAATGTAATCAAATGAAACCAATGATTTAAAACCAAATCAAATAAAAATACCGCACCAAAGATTGATAATCTTCAAGAAATGTGAAAACGTCACCGTGACTTCAAATTGAAAACTCCAAAATTTAAAAGTTTAGTTGAATGACATTTTTGGACAATGGCCGGTTCAGTCATGCCAGGTCGGTAAAACTAAAATCTCCAGATGGTCACTTAAAAATTCCTAGTTTTCCCTAGATTTTCAAAAAAATATAAATACAAATGTCTAATAAAACATCATAAATGAAACAAAAAAGGTTATTGCAAACGGTATAGTATAAAATTTAAAAATTGTAAAAAAATCTCATAATTTTGCTTCAATTTGTGTTTTTATTTATTCTTTTAAATTCAAGCTGTAATTTCAATAGGTATTTAACAAAGTTTATATGTAAATGGGGCAGTTGCAAATCAGACTCACTGCAGTATATTGATTTTTGGATCTCAGTAATCGATTCTTAATTAATTGACATTTCTTAATTCAAATTGGGGTTCTTTTCTACTTGTTAGCCTTCTAGTCCGATATTTTCTTCCCAGAATTATTTTTTTTGCAGATAAACGAAAATTTTAAAAAATTCCTAGATAATTATAACAAATCTCTGTTTCCTTTTGCCTGAGAAAAATCCCTAGAACTAGGTAAAAATTCCCGAGTATGGCATCACTCACCAGTGTTGCAACTAATAGTGTGTGTATCGTTGTGCGGTGTAGTGACTGCAGCATAACTGAAACTCAATTTCATAAAATTCTGCTAGATGCAATTTTCTACTGGACTTCTTCTGCAGGCACGTCATTTTGAGTGGTCATTTTTGAGGCTCCGGCGGAACTGTGTTGGTTCCCAAAAAAAATTCCCGGTGGTTCAAGTTTCGTTGCCAAAAGCGGAACCCCACAGATGGCACATGTTGCACCACCAATTTTGGTATTTTTAAAAGAACTTGTTTCTCTCTGGCGCTTGTGGACGGTGTCATCAAGAAGTACCGTATTTTCAAAAAAAAATACGGAGTTTTTAGGCCCCTTAATTGCAAATGTTTTACGTTATCCATTATTCTGAACATGCGCATTAGTAAAGAAATAACCGTTTACGGTATTAGAGGATAACGTGTTCCTTTATTTACGTACGAGTGGCGGTAACGTTAATAAGCATCACGTTGAAAAGCAGAACGACGGTGTTGACATATTTGACTTATTTCTAATATTATTAATAAAATAAGCGGCTATAATAGAATAAGAAATCTTTGTTAATTTAAATAAGTCTTTTTCATTGATTAGTTTATGCCATTATTGCGTAAATACGGATTTTATGTGAAATTTTTTGGGTAAATTTGAACGTTGCAACACTACTAACATCGCAAGCACAAGTTTAACTAACTTCTAAACCATAACCTAACTATTTTATTTTGAATTTTTATTTAATATGTTTGGAATAAATTCCTTCTGAAACCTAAAATTGGTAAAGCGATTTCTGGGCTCAATATTTTCTAAATTAAAATTAGCAAGTAGGTTTGCAACAGGTGGGTCAAAGATGTCGTGTAAAATTAAGTCTCTTATTAAATCGTGATTTAATAAGAAGGCAGCTTCAATGTGGATGGCGCAGAAAGGCAGCTTCAATGTTTTATCCATCTTAGCCACTTCTTCTTTAATAACAATACAAACTTAAACTAGCTTTGAAACTTTTCCAAACAAAACGGAATGAGAAAACAGTAAAGCGAGGTTTATTTTAGTAAGAGTGCAACAAACGTGGTATCAGAAACTAAAAAACGTACTTAACGTTATTTGCCTGAGCACCTTATTTTTTTAACACTGCGCATGATCTATTATAGCCGCTTATTTCATTAATAATATTAGAAATAAGCCAAATATGTCAACATCGTCGTTTTGCTTTTTAGCGTGATGCTTATTAACGTTACCGCCACTCGTACGTAAATAAAGGAACACCTAATAACGTAAACGGTTATTTCTTTACTAATGCGCATGCTCAGAATAACGGATAACGTAAAACGTGTTGCAATTAAGGGGCCTAAAAACTCCCTAATAGCGATTTTAGCCGTTAAGAGTGGCTGCTTCAAAAATTTGTACCTCTAAATCAGGTTGAGCGAGAAAAACTAATAACGTTTAGCGTTTAAAGCCAATGTAATTTTAAGGGGCCTAAAAACTCTCTAATAAGTATGTAATTTGTAACTTTTCTGCACTGCTCTAGAAGCGGGTACTATTCAATGGAGGAATTCATTCGAATGATTTTATTCGATAGTTGCAATCATTCATTTAGTAATTATTCGATAGTGCATTGGTGGAACCGTTTCAGATTGGGGCTGATTGATGATCTTTTTGCCATGGTGAAAGCGGGCCACACCAGCACAGTAGAAACCCTCAAGTTCTTGCAGGCGTTTGAGGATGAGACCGATTTCAACGTCTGGTTGTCGATCAGCAATATTTTGGTTCGACTTTCACAACTGCTCGGGAACACGCCCTACCGAAATGGATACGAACAGGTGAGTTTTCCGGCTCCTCACTCCTCCTTCAAACTGAAGTCTGAATTGAACCTTTCAGTATACGAAGAAGTTGCTAAGCAAAGTGTACGCACGTTTGGGGTGGAACAGTCGTTCCGGAGAGACGCACTTGGACACGCTGCTGCGCAGCCTGATTCTAGGTAGAATGGCGCTGCTGGACGACGACCTTACAATTAAAGAGGCGAGAAGCAGGGTGGAGAGTCATGTTAAGGGCGATACGGTGTTAGTTGCGGACTTACGAAGCGCCTGTTACAGAACAGTGCTGAGGGCAGGTGGTCAGCAGGAGTTCGACACTCTACTCAAACTGTATCGAGCAACCGATTTGCACGAGGAAAAGGATCGGTAAGTTTGCAAGTTTGCGCCTGGTCGTCGCTAATGCGTGTTTTTTCTAGAATCAGCCGGTCTTTGGGATCGGCTAACGATGTGAAACTGTTAAAGCAGGTGCTGGAATTTGCCATGTCGGTAAGTAAACGCCAGTCTGTGGCTTCCAACGAAGCAGGTCCTAGCAAGTGATTGTTTCAAGGATGAAGTCCGAACTCAAGACAAAGTGTTTGTAATTGTGTCGGCATCGGTGAACTGCAAAGGGCGCGACCTCGCCTGGGACTTCTTCAAAGACAACTGGCCGAAGATTAACAAGATCTTTAAAGGGTACTTGCTTACCAGACTGGTGAAGCATTTGACCGAAAATTTCACTAGCGAAGAGCGGGCTTTGGAGGTGGAGGCTTTCTTCCAGGAGCATTCGGCACCTGGTAAGTTGTGACTGGGTCCAATCGGGTAAGAGGAGAGTTTTGCTGATGTTGGCGTGTGTTCCAGGCACTGAGAGGACCGTTCAGCAGGCGATTGAGACCATCAGGCTGAATGCAAAGTGGCTGCAACGAGACAGCGCTGCCCTGGCCGCGTACTTAACTTAATCGCAACGCGTTTTGTGATGTTTGCTAGGATAGTTTTAACTTAGCGTTGTGTTTCCGTGAGTGCATGAAGAACTGATTTAGTGTACTTAATTTTGTTGAGTTTGTTTCATATTTTTTGACATGGTTGGATATTTTTCTGTCTGGTCGTGATCGCGCATTTTATTGAATCCACCTATTTTGAATTGTCCGACTCAGTTATTAAATGTGCAACAGATGAGTGCATTTTGGCTCGTGCATCTACGCCAACTGGAATGTTTTTTAGCATTGTTACCTGCTGAATAAACGTTTTTGTACTTGTCTATGTTTTTCACTTCAAGTCAATCCAAACACTAAAAGTCGAATTATCGTTTATTATGCGAAAATATCAGGAGAATGAAGAGTTTTCACAGTTTCATTGGAAATTTGACTGGTTTGACAAAACTTCGATTTCTATAATCCACCTATTTTGAACTGTCCGACTCACTTAATAAATGTGCAACAGATGAGTGCATTTTGGCTCGTGCATCTACGCCAACTGGAATGTTTTTTAGCATTGTGACCTGCTGAATAAACGTTTTTGTACTTGTCTATGTTTTTCACTTCAAGTCAATCCAAACACTAAAAGTCGAATTATCGTTTATTATGCGAAAATATCAGGAGAATGAAGAGTTTTCACAGTTTCATTGGAAATTTGACTGGTTTGACAAAACTTCGATTTCTATAATCCACCTATTTTGAACTGTCCGACTCACTTAATAAATGTGCAACAGATGAGTGCATTTTGGCTCGTGCATCTACGCCAACTGGAATGTTTTTTAGCATTGTTACCTGCTAAATAAACGTTTTTGTACTTGTCTACGTTTTTCACTTCAAGTCAATCCAAACACTAAGTCGAATTATCGTTTTTATGCGAAAATATCAGGAGAATGAAGAGTTTTCTCAGTTTCATTGGAGAGAGAATTGACTGGTTTGAGCAAACTTCAATTTCTATCAGGGCAGCAGAATGTTCAAGGAGGTAGCGAGAATATCAGAAGCAATGCAGTTTGACGAAACGATTTCTATCAGGGTAGTCGAAATAAAAAGACTGATTATTCGTACATATTACAATTATAACATAATTATGAAGTTACAAATACAATCACAGCAAGTACTTCTTATCAATAACATTATTGACAATTATGCTATTTCTATTATTTTACGCCATGTACAAACAGAATTCCAAAATGCAATTACATACTTGGTTTAACCACACACTCAGTCGGTCGAAATTGGTCCCATTGGCGGTTCAAGCTATACCTTACTACACTAGAAAGTAAAATCCTATACTGTGCACTGCGTTTTAAAAGTCCTCGACAAAATCATGTAAAAAAAACTTTTCACATGTATAAATAATGACTTAAAATTTTCACAGAAAAACACAGAGCGTCAAATAAATAATCACATAATCGAGCATTCGCAGCAGGCCATTGTGACCGACAAACACTTCACAATACTGTCCTCCTCCTCCTTCTCATCCTCCTTCTCTACCTGCTGCTTTTTCTCTGGTGGTATCCATTGGCCGTCCAACTTGTCAAAGTTGTTCTTTCCCTCTTTTTTATCTCCGCCTGTGGATAACAATGGAGGGATACATGAAGACAAACAAGCACGTTTCCACTCAAAGCTTACCTTCATGTTCACCACTGTCTTTCTTACCATTCCGCCTTTCTTCATTGTCGTCGCACTGGTCCTCACCATCGCTGTCGTGGTTGGAGGTTGGCGAACTTATTTCGTCTTTGTCTTCCTTGTCCTTGTCGCCGATCGGTTCAGCCAACACTTCACCTTTACCACCTACGAAAGTTGAAAAATCAGACTAATGGCACAAGCTGGCAACCCTAGGGAGCAGTACCACCAATGTCAAAAATATGCCACTTTGGGGGTTGTTAATTTGCTTAGTGGTTGTCTCAACACGTGCTCAAAAACATGTTGCAACATTGACGAGAATGCGAACATAATTGCTTGATTAGAAATCTGATTGTTAACCAAATTGGTGGCAATAATAATGCAAAGGAACCGGTTTAAAGAACTTACCCGGTCTATCGCCGACTTTTTCGTCTGTTGGGGCGCTTTGGACAGCGACTTCTTTACTCGTGGTGGGTACAGGCGAACTGCGCCCTTCACTGCTGAAGACCTGCTTGGAGTCCAGCAGCTGAGGCCGGCCCTCTTGGTTGGAGTCAGCATTGAAGCTGAAGGCCTCGGCCGTGCGATTGTTGTGAAGTGGACTATCTCCCGACATAATCGACCTAAACACCAAAGAAAAACCATTGATTGATTCACCAACTCCAATTCGAGAATGTCCCCATAAAGTGGGGATGTTCTGTGCTCCAATTGCTCCAAAATCGCCCCTGCTTACCTATCGATATACTCAAAGTCGTAACCGTCCATTTCGACCCGAAAAACTACTAAAATATAACCAGGCAACCACTCTTCTCACACCTGAAACCCGAAAGAAAACACCGACCGAACTGTAAATTTACGACTGAAAGCCAATGATGTTCCAAGTACGACAAATCTGAAAGGAATGCAGCGTGCACCTGGTATCGAAGGAACGACCGAATCTCTATAAGGATGATGATGATGATGATGGTCTATGGCCTGTTTGGACTCGACTAGCCTTGCTAGCACATGGTTGCGACCGTGTTGCGTCTTTCCAACCAATGCGACCCGATTTTTTAGGTGGGAGGCGCTCTTCGTTGGTTCATTGGTTCGCATTCCAATTGACAACAATTTAACCAAGAGACCTTTTCGCCGAAAAACTCATCAATTGCACCAAACAAACAATTTTTTTTGTTCACCCATTCCACTAGGCCTGGGTAACACTGTGTTGAGTTAATGAGTTTTAACTCATTGGTTAATGAGTTTTTTTAACATCTAACAAAAAAAGCCATCAACATATTGCTTTTGCGCGTACGATTGCTTGAAACTATTTGATTTAAAACGGGAAAATTCGGAAATTTTGATTGATGAACTTTAAAAAATTTCAGAGCGATGTGGGTGACGAGTTTTCGAAATACTGATTATTTGCTTTTGCTTTCTCTGGTTGTTTTTTAAGAAAACTTAAATTTTGTCGAAAAAAAAATGATAACTTTGTTTCGATTTTGTCCAAAATTCACATGTAAAATGGGTATTAGAAAAAAACGATAAAGAAGACCCAATTGTAAAGACAACGACTTTTCTTGTAAAATCCATCTTTTAACTTTTTTGCATAAAAGACCTTCAGTTTGCCAGTATTTTACAGTAAAACGTTATATATCTTTTTACATATATTATAAAAATCACCTGCAAAAATTTTTATTTTTAAACGCTAATTCATTTTTAAATGAAAATTTGATTTTTAAACATTTTTACAAATAAAACGTATATTTTATTTAATCAGTTTTTGCTTATATATTTTATCTAGTTTATTATCAGTTCTTTTGTTCTTTAAGCAGGTGCTTTTGACCAGGTTTTGTTTTTGATTTTAGAATATTTTATTTTAACTAAGAGCTTTAGTTAAGAATTAATCTTTTAATAAACGAAATCATTATTTGTCATTAATGTTTAATGAAAAATATTAAAAGTAACATGTTCCTTTTGGAACCCCATTTTGAAACCTATTACCAACGGAAAATTGGAACGTTGTAACCTTGTTACAGAGGTTAAAATAACCGTTTATCCCACATCTAGTTTAGAGGGAGTCTCTCTAGTTAGAAATCTTGACCTAAAAGGGAAGAAACCGGAATTTAAATAAACCAAATTATTCACAGCGACGAGTTTTCCGAACAATTCTAAACTTTCACTTGTTCTGGTCGGGGAAATATTTTTGGGAAAAAATCCAGAAAAAATTATTAGGGTTTTACGCAAAATCCGAAGCTGCAAAAGGTTCCAGAAAAAAAATTACGAAGCTGTTCAGGAGCCGAGTGTTCCAATAAAATATATTTTATAATTTTCACAGTAAATTCCTGAAGACTGTATTTTAAGTAAAAATAATATGGTTTTTTGCGTAGAAAGAATTGCTTAATAGAAACTTTGCTAAAACTGGAATGACCTGAAATTTTAAAGAAACTTGAAAACTCTTTAGAGCGATGAGGGTGGCAAATTTTTCAATTGATTTCAAAATTTGCAGTAAATGTCTAGCATTGCTAAGTGACTAGAAAACAGACATATTTTTTTACGCAAAAACTATGAATGCTTTTGATTTTACAAAGAGCATAAAATTGTGAACAAATGATTAATGCATCAACCTAAAAAAATTGAGTTGATTTCATCCTCCGACTAAAAAGTTCTGATAGTTTTTGTACCACGACACTCAAGAATTCACCACTTGTCCAAAACAGCTGAACTCCATTGTTTCATCAAAATATGAGTCTTACATAAGAACAAATTCACAGCGAGTTTCACTAAAATACAACGTACAATTCTTCCGATATTTCGAACAAGAAATTTTTTTTTAAGAACTTTGACCATCAATAGCAGAGGAGCCAGACATTTTTTGTTAATAAAAGTTAGGCCTGATCGTCTTCTTTTGGTCCAAAGAATATCGCAGTACCCGTTTGATCATGAGCTTACGGGACACTGTATATCCTTCTGATACCGTCGAACTTTTCCACTTTCCATGTTTTTGTACGCCGCAGACAGTGGCCCGTCTAATCCTCTGCATTATCTAGTTTTAAGTACTTTACTATAGTTGCAGGTACACACCAATAGTATTTTTACACACCGGTTGTGTTACACACCGGTACAGCGACTATTTCTATACGTAAGGAAGAATCTTCGTTCTTTTATTCCTTTAGGTCTTAATGCGGCGTACTTTCTTATTATGTTTAAAGCCCCTATATTTTCATCGTCAACAACAGTAAAACTTTTTGGTGTTAATGTTTTAGTTTCAGGCATTTTTACAAATATAACGGCCCCGTTATCTTCAACATGGTCAACCGTCATTTTAACCAACTCATCTCGTCTTAATCCACCAAAAACACCCATTACTAGTACTCAGGGTTGGCTTGATTTTTATCAAGTGATTTCAATCATGATTTAAATCACCTGACTTTTTTGGAAAAAAAATCACGATTTAAATCAAACTTAATTTTTTCAAGAAACTTTATATTTCCACTCAAAAAATATAAAACAGAACATAAATAATTCTAAGAAATGAAAATCAAAATAGAAAACGGTACATGCGAACTTAAAAACTAAAAGGTATTAATGGTAAACTCAATAATACTAAAACGGAAATCACTTCTCTTTCTCTTCATTTTCGTTATAAAGTCTGAAAAGGAACACTAATTTCCCTCCTTTTTCGATTCCCAATCTGTTCCTGGTATCCGAATGTGCTGAACATCCTTTCGACAGACGCAGAGATGCAGTTGCACAGAGAAACTGTTTTATAGTGGGCAAGTGTTTCGCAATTTCCGGTTCATCTCTCTGTGATCGCCACCACTGAAGTCCGTTCATATTTTTCAGCACCTCATCAAAAAACATAATTTATTTGAAAGGACTGCGCGAGCGTTGAATTTAATAACTAGTGGCGAAAATCCCGAGTTTCCATGAAGCTCACTGATAGTCTCCAAAGCCAGATTCTTCTCTTCAGGAGTTAAAGCGTAGTCTTGTTTCTCCGGGCTTAACATGTAAGCAATAAAGTGATAAGGTGTAAGAGCTTGCTTATAGCTATGTTGAAACTTCTGTAGTTTCTCTAAAGATAAATTTTGAGATTCTTCAAACTTATCTTGCAAAAGTTGCCACTGCTCTACGGCATCAGATATTGTGGCATTTTTCTTCTGGAGTATATCTAGAGCAACAGCAATAGGCTTCAGAAGGCTCAGGTACT